AACTAATAGCAAAATGTTGATATAGTTCATGAAGAACTAGTAACAAAATTGATATAGTTCTTGAATAACTAATGTAGTTCCCCCCATTATTTTTGTGGGCAGAAAAGAAATTGATAATGAAAAATTATGACCCACAAACATTTATATTAGAATATTTGCTTATTAAAGGGTCTTAAAGTGATAGCTCAATTAGATTTAAATCTATTATTATATATGAATCAGGAAGTATTTAGATTTTCAAGTTAAAGATATGTTATTAGCTTACTATATATTATTCATTGTATTTGAAATACAAAAATAAGAAAAATATATTTATATGACTCACACTTGAGGGGGAGATTGTTGAAATTATTGAAATACAAGTGTGAATCATGTTAGATGGAATTTGTTATTATTGATATTAATTTCATTCCTTATATCTCATGTTCCTTTTAAAAAAAGCTCCAGAAGAGCCAATAGCGCTCAACCTTCCATGAGTGCACAGGTTTCTACCATTTGGGTATAGGATAAAAACTAATGCTCTAGAAGAGTTATATCATTATTTATTATCCTGAAGATAAAATCTATAATTGATAACATATTCCTTATGGAATATTAAGGAAAATAAATAAATAATATAACATGGTAACAAGAAGTTTACCAATAATTGAGAATAATTTTACAATAAACCAGAAGTTTATGCATTCATAGTTTGGCATGACCGGTTAGATCATCCCGGATCATAATGATGCAAAATATCATAAAAAATGTGCATTGTCATTTATTAAAGAACTAGAAGATTCTTTAAAATGATATGTGATTCAAGAATTTTTATGTGTTGTTTGTTCTCATAGAGAACATCACTAGCTATGCTCAAAATCGGATCCGTACAGATTTATAATGTATCAGATTTATATATGGGCCCATTTAGACACCATGTAGACCAAAGTAATACTCTATAAGTGAAAGATGCATCTATAAAATGGTCACAGGCGTTTATGATCAACTTGCAACCTGAAGTTTGCAAATATGTTCAGATAATTACATTAAGTATATAAGTTCTTGATTATGAAATCAATACGATTCTTGTTGAGATTGCTAGTGATTGTTCCTCACGTTGCTGATAATTATATGCTTAGTAAAAGCCTCTATAAGAAGCTAGATCAGAGTTTATGATAACAGAATTCCTACTGAGTGTTGGGATGATTGATTTTATATATTTTTGCACATAAATGCATCAAGCCAACAATGTATTGTGAATTCTCCCATTATATTTGGCTTTTGGTCAGGAGTCAGACATTTTTCATCTTAGAATATGCAATATTTATTATTCCATCGTAATAATGGACATAGGTGGATATTAAAAGTAAGTTGGGATCAATGTTGGATAAGAACCTCCTTATTCTTGTTTGTCTCTAAATGAAACAAAATAATGTTTCTAAAAGAGATTTATGGATTTGGGAGACCTACATTGCATATTCCCAATATGAGGGGGAGAAAATGTATAGCTGGAAAAGAGAACACATAAAATATACTTTCATTATCAAATGTAGATCCTCAAATATAGTAGTATGAACTAGAAGTTCATGAAGTATTGCATTTGTAAAACATTACTAATGTCTGCCAGATGCAATTACTGACCTAAATGAGAATTTTTAATTCTTATATTCCGGCTAAAAATGCTCCTATTCTTGAAGACATGCTAAAAGCATGATGTTATGACCGGTTCCAAAAGAAAAAAAAAAGGAGCAAATGATAATGATGATCATACTAAGGAGGCATGAATTGCAAAAGAGATTAAGACATAACTCTTTGACCCCTGAAGAGGTTTAAGTGTCTGAAAGCAATAAAGAGATCTCGATATATTATGTCATAAAAGAAAACGGGACCGACAAAGGAATAAAATTGTCGACAATAATTTGATTGATGATATCACATGATCAAGTGAGGATCTTATATATAAATCTGTTATGAGATATAGATAGAAAAATGATTGACCAACATAAAAGAAAAGACGCAACATTATAACAGGAGATTTGTGTATCTCTAACCCAAACACCTGAAGTGTAAGGGGTATTTGTACAAGAAAAGAGAAAGAGAATCTTGTGGTGAATTAAAATTTTTATGTATATTGTCAATCTGGCAGTTTGATAAAATCTCATATGCGTCTAGAAATACAATGACCCACTATGTAGTGAAATTATATGTGAATCCCAGAAGGATTCAAATTCTTGTATAAATATAAACGATCCAATACATGAATAGATATGGATCATAATGTATGAAAATTCTTGAAGGATTTAAGTTTCTAGAAGTATACAATTATGTTCTCAAGAACATCATTGAAGTAAGTCTCTATATGAGACACATGTGGTTAATATCAACTGAAGGAATGTTGTAAACTTATTCCAATTTGTCTGTTTATGAAAAGATTCAAAATGAGTCTGTTATCGATACTATTTATAATGATAGTATCACAACTCCTGATGAGTTTTCAAAAACTGCAAATTACTTAAAGAAAAAGTTTGAAATAAAAGTTTTAAGAAGAATACATATGGATAAATTACATCCATTATGCGGATAAGTAACATCCATTATGTGTTTCGGTAGTTACAAGATCTTTAGCTATGGGTTAAAGCTCGATTTAGACCTCTAGAAGGTAATGAACAAATACTTGGTCCAGAAGTACCATGCTTTAGTGTCACTAGAGCACATATGTATCTATCTAGCCACACATAACTCAATATATCATTTGCTAGTTAGCATGATATAGTTTGTCACTAATATAAAGACGATGGAGCGAAATTAAGAATATTTTTCATTTAAAGGATACCGTGGATATCTGAAAGTACCCACAACTAATTTTACTGGCTATGTAGATAAAGTATTTCTGTTTGATTCTCATGTTAAGAGATCACAGCATGATCTACATGTGGGTAAACTATAAAAGGACTATCCGCCTCATAATGTTTAGAAGATTATGAAATTCATACTTGACGTTTTATCTAATTACAATATTTGGAAGGGTTGTTCGTTATATTAGACTTTGCAGGCTCCAAGATGTCAACTAATGTTGTCAAGAGGGGGAGTTGATACACGCTGTACTCTTTTTTCCTTGTCTATAGTTTTGTCCCACTGGGTTTTCCTAGCAAGGTTTTTAATGAGGCAGCATTGCATAGTGTATCAATGAATGATGTACTCTTTTTCTTTCACTAGGTTTTTATCCCATAGGGTTTTTCCTAGTTGAAGTTTTTTAACGAGGCACATCCATATATATTGGACATCCAAGGGGGAGTGTTATGAATATAATAATATCTTTGTGGATGTCCATATATCTCCCTTTATCTCCTATATCTCCTATAATCTCTAAGATCTCCCATTATCTTTATATCCCACAATTATCTCATATTATCATGTGATCTGGAGATTCTATCAAAGATGTAAAGCTGTGCCTATAAATAGAGGCCATATATAATGTATTGTGTACTCTTGAATGAAATGAGAAAGACTCTCTCTTATCAATCCTCTCTTCCTTTGTATGATTCTTCTCTATTTCTTCTTTATTCATAACAACATTTTATTTAAAAAAAAAACACAAATTACCCTCGCTGGCTGACCGGCAATCTGTGCCAATGCTTTAGCTAGTAGCCAGCCGGCGATGATGACTTAAGAGTTTTTAAAAAAAATTAAAAAGTAACATTATAAATTCATCAACATTTTACAATTTTAATTTAGTCATTATGATTAATTATTTGAAATTTTGCAAATTCATGTGATCTTTTAAAATTATGAAAATTTGACTATCATTTTTTAAAAATTTTCCCTATGAAAATATAAGGTGGGGGCTTGTGTGACTTTCTGAAATAAAAAGTCATTCATAGTTGAATCAAGCTTTGTAAAAAACATAGCCCAGTTTACTCTAGGTAACAAAATAAAATGATCAGATGGAATCAATTTGACTTCAGAGGCAAAATATGATTCCAATATAGTATCATTTAAAAAAAAATTATGCGTGATTTATTACCAAAAAGATTCATGTGTGATTCTCAACGAGAGAATGGTCCGAGTCTTGCGATCGGAAACTTCCTCAAATTTCTGTTGGTGGAAAATGACTATTAAGTCAATTTGTATCATATAATAAGGAGGAGGTTGAATTTTTTGTCATTTCATATTATATTCAATCGTTCATACTGCTGACTCACTTTTGATCTACGGATATAGATTCACGGTTTACTTGATCATATGTCTAGTTGCGTCTGTCTGAATGTCTGCAACCGCATGCGTCTCAATCAAGGAAACATCTAGGAAAAGCATGAGGGCTGTGTTTTTTTTTTTTTTTGGTCCCCCACCAGCTCCACTTAATCAAGAATTTGACTATTCAAACTTGAAATTATTAATGTTCGCTACTCAGTTAAATCATGGCTGATCATTTTGTTTTGCCTTCACTGATTGTGCGAACGTAAAATAGCCCCAAATATGGGTATGGAGCTTCTAATGCCCAAACTTTCCAAATGGTTCCCCCTAATTATTATTAGATTCTACATAAAATCAGTAATATTTTAATATCTTATAAACAAAAAATAGTACAGTTATAAATTTTTTTATGATTTTTAATAAATAAATAACGCACAATTTTAGAACATTTTTTTAAAAAAATTGTAAAAAAAATTCAAAACCGTGTCATTTTTATCCATAAGATGTCAAAATGTCATTTATTTTATTTAGAATCTAACGAAGAGCTAAAAAAAAAAAAAAGAAAGAAAGAAAAGAAAAAGACATTTGAGATGAGAGATTGAAACATTTCAAGTGGCATGCATCGCGGCCTTGCCCCCAAATATACGGTTATCAGCCCTCTCTGCCATTAAGAAATGACGCGTACGTCTGGTCCCGTTTTTCTTCAATGAATGAATGGCTCGACTTTAAGAAGTTGACTTTTCAAACTTCAGAAGCACGCCCGACTCCTCAATCATCCGTTAAAACAACCCAAAATGCTTCGATTCTTCTGTCATTCCTTCAACACGATGCCTTTGCTTTACTTCGGTCTGCTCGTTTTCGTTTCTCGCCTTCTTAATCTCACAGCCCAGCCTGATTTCCGAGCGTTCTATTGTTACCTAGGAGGAGGTAACGACACAGACAAAAGTGACTACCTGGCCAACCTCAAGACCCTTCTTTCTGGTTTCACTTCCGACAACACAAACATTGAATACGGCTTCATCAATTCCTCTTACGGCCAAAACCCTGACACCGTTCACGCATTTGGATTCTGCAGAGGCGATGTGAAACCAGATTCTTGCCGCAGTTGCCTCCTCAACGCCACAATCCTTCTCCCACGACTTTGTCCAAATCAGAAGGATGCAGTTGGATACTATGACGACTGCACGTTTCTATACTCATATCGTTCAATATATGGAATATACAACGTCTCTGATGTGATATGCCCTCTGTGGAACCTGGCAAGTTCAACGACACTTACGGATAACTACGTACAGGTACTATTGGACAAAGTAAAGAACCAAGCACCAATCGGGGATTCTCATCGTAAGTTTGCAGCAGCAAATGATAGTACCGGCGAATATAGGAAAGTGTATGCTTTTGCTCAGTGCAGTCCAGATCTGCCTGAGGATTATTGCAGGTCCTGCTTACAGGATGTTTCCCAACGAATCCAACTATGCTGTGAAGGAAAGAATGGTGGTAGGGTTCTCCATCCGAGCTGCTATATTAGATATGAGAGCTACCTCTTCTATGATTACACGGCTGTTTCAGCCCAGCCATCTCCTCCGCCATCCAGCCCCGTGACGCCGCCGCCCCAAGGTACTTGCCCAGTCCGTTTTACTTAGTTTATAATTTTTTTTGCATTTAAAAAACAATATATGATTTTTTAAATAATATTTTATGCAGTAAAAGTTATAGTAATGTGAAAACTTTTGAACTAAATAATATCACATAATCAATTAGATGATACACTCTGCACTATTTATATAAATACGAAAAAAAATAATATTAAAATTAAATAGAAGAGCAAAAATGTCTACATCAAAATTGGATGATATACTTTTTACAATCTATGGTAAAATTATTTTCATTCAAGAGAGCATTAAAAATAACTAATTAAAAATGAGTTGAGAAGCATCAGGAATATCCGAATGTGCGAATAGAAACGTAAGGACGACATAGACAAAAGGACAAAAATGACTTTTGATTTCAAAAGGCTGTTTTTGCATGACTCATAAGTATTAAGTAGGTTTTAGGTGCTCTTGCAATCATCTTTATAAAAGCAGCTTTTGGCCCATACATCCAAATAGTTGAAAAAAATATCAAGAGTGCTTATGCCTTTCAAAAGCTACTTATTACCCTTCCAATCGTGAATCCAAACAAAGTCTAAATAAACCAACCCAAATGACTCCTTACTTAAGCATTTGATTTTAATTTGGCCCTAAATGTACATCTTGAGCTCTCAATGACACAAGTGACCTGATTGTTTGGTGTTACATATATAACCAGGAGGAAGTGATAGCACTGGATCAAAGACTGTTATCAAAATTATTGTCCCCGTTAGCATTTCAGTTGTACTTTCTTGTTTGGTGGGTTGCTATTTACTGAGGAGAAAAACAAGGAAGAGAAGCCAATCCATTCTCAAAGAAAACTGTAATCTATTGTTTGTTCACTGTTAAACTTGAGAATGTTTATATCTTACCATAGCATGCTTATTAAATTAGTATTCACATATACTGTGGTGTAGTTGGAGAAGAAGGTTTTAATCTGAGGTCCTTGCAATTTAGCTTAGCTACAATTGAAGCTGCAACAAATAAGTTTTCTGAAGAGAACAAAATAGGAAAAGGAGGATTTGGAGAAGTTTACAAGGTGATATACTAAACTAACTGCCAATAACTAATTATATATCATATTCCTAATCATAATAATTCAATTTTGTTTTTAGGGCACTCTTCCTGATGGACGAGAAGTTGCTGTCAAGAGACTCTCTAGAAGTTCAATGCAAGGAACATTAGAATTCAAGAATGAAATTTTGCTTATAGCCAAGCTCCAGCATAGAAATTTGGTGACGTTATTGGGATTTTGCTTGGAAAAACAAGAAAAAAATTCTTATTTATGAATACGTACCTAACAAAAGCATTGATTTCTTCTTATTTGGTACAAACTTCTAACCTTATTTCCTATATTATATATGGTTCAACTTCTACCCATACATCCTTTCATATGCAATTTTTCCCAGCTAGTTTGTTACCAGTACTTACTTTCGTAATTATTTCACCTAATTATATAGATTCTTCTGTATTTCTTCATTTTACTCGCTTAATTATATAGATTCGGACAAGCAAAGATTATTCAATTGGTTTGAGCGGTTCAAGATCATTGGGGGAATAGCACAAGGACTTTGTTATCTACATGAACATTCACGCCTTAAAGTCATCCATCGTGACCTCAAACCAAGCAATGTTTTACTAGATAATAATAAATGAATGCAAAAATATTAGATTTTGGTATGGCAAGAATGATTTCTATAGATGAAGACCAAGGAAACACAAATAGAATTGTCGGAACACAGTAAGCATTGATGTCCTCCTTTTTAATTGGTTATCTTAGTTCATCAATTGCATGAGAAACAAAAGAGATTGTATCTATTCCTATGTGAACATTGCTTGATACGTACTATTTTGTCTTTTTTTTTGGGTTAAATTTTGTAGTGGTTATATGGCTCCTGAATATTTAATACATGGACAATTTTCTGAAAAGTCGGATGTATTTAGTTTTGGAGTCATAGTTTTAGAAGTGCTTAGTGGGAAGAGAAATGCCAGATCCTATGAATCATACCTCTTAACAAATGTAAGTATTAAATCTGTGCTAATCATTCCCCTTTCTGTAATCATGTTGTCATATCTTTGATGAAGATTAAGATGCGAAGGTGAATTTGATTGTGTAATTATTTGACAAGGTCTGGAAGCAGTGGAATGAGGAAAATCATTACAAATATTGGACCCTTTTCTGATGGAATCATGTTCTCAAACTGAAGCAACAAAATGTGTGCAAATTGGGCTATTGTGCGTTCAACAAAATCCAGAAGATAGGCCAACAATGGCTCAGATTGTTTCATATCTCAGCAATCTTTCCGTTGACTTACCATCTCCAAGAGAACCTGCATTCTTCATGCATTCCAATCCAACTATAGTCGCAGAATTGAGTTTGGATCAAACTCTCCAGAGTTCAACTTCCAAGTCAGCTGTTTCAAATGACTCGTCTCAGTTCTTGCCTCGATGAAATGAACTTCATCTTTTCTATGTGTTATATGCGTTTACATATGTCGTGAGACGTATCAACTTTTGTTGGTTTTGTTCATTAAGTTATTCCTCGATGAAATGAAGTTCATTTATAGCCCTGTTGATGTGGGTTGTACAGCTTGAGTTTGGAAAGAAGTTATTGTATCATTTACTTTTTTTTTTTGAATATATAGTATTATTTTGCAGCCATTTTAGTCATTAAGATATGATAAAAAGAGCGATTAACTAATTTAGAAGAATCTGAATGTGTCGGGGAACTTTGACGAAAAGCAAATTCGGAGGAAAGAGTCTTATAATAGACAGTGTGATTTGAAACCACAAGTTTGTGTTACCGATCAAATCATTATTATTAATTACATTAAATCTTATTTGGGGAGTGATAAATCCACATTTTATCATATCATTTTATATCTTTTTGGGGATTTTTATCAATTAAAATGGGATAATTTGCATTGACTATGATTATTTTGAATTAAATATTGATTGCATTAAAATAAAGTTAATAAAAAGTGTAAACACCCCGAATTCTGACTCAGGATGAGCAGAAAAGAGAGAAATTCATTAAAATTATTATTTGCAAAATAAAGTGGGAAAAATTATGGAATATTGATTTTTAAGATTTAGAGACATATTGGAAAAGGTATTCCCCAAAAATGCTTAAAATTTTAATAGATAATTTTAAGAGAAAAATGGTATTTTCTCTGAAAATTATGGAAAAATACTTAGAGGTTTCTAATTAACTAGAAAATTTTAGGGAAATTATCTTATGATGTAGAGAATTTTTGGAGGCCTAAAATCCTTAAAATGGGTTAAGGATAATTTCTGGAATTAAGAGTTATTTTCTTGGAAAATTCAAGAAAAATAGGTATGAGTTAATTTTTGACCCAAAATTTTTAGAGAAAAATTATTTATGGGTCAAGGAAGCTAATGGATAATATAAACCCATATAAGATATTGTGGAATAATTCTGGATAAATTTTATATTGCAGAAAATAGAAGGAATGGTGGAAATAGAAAAGGATGAAATTGGAACAAGGGGAGGAAATGAAGGGCATAGCGGTCATGAGCTACGCCACTTCCATCTCACGTGCCACTTCCTTTTAACCATCTGATCCCTTCTCAACCTCCTCCATTTCATTTCGGTTCCGTAGAGAAAAGAGAGAGAGACGGAGAGCGAGAGAGGGAGAGCACGGGAGAAGCAGAGTAGTACGGAGTTGGTGATCGGAGGTATTTTAAACTGCATGCAAACCGATCAAGCTATCCTGGTGAGCCTCATGAGTCCCTTTCTGTCTTCGTTTTCTGGGTTTGATAGATGGTTATGGCGTTTATGGTGGGGGCAGAGAGAGGGTGGTAGTGAGAGAAAATGAGTAAAAGGATAGGAGTTTCGGTGAGCTAGTGTCCTATGCAGATTGAAGTGTGTGATGCTGGTTTCTGCGCTTGCATGTAAGATTGATGCTCTGTTTTAAGTCTACCGAACAGGGGTTAAAAGCTTGGGGGAGTTTGGTTCTGCTGATTCTAAACGGGGGGAGAACCTTATGTTTAAGGTTGGTTACGGTTTGGAGGAAGGGACCGAGGAAGATGCAAAACGTATATATATATATAATATGTGTGTTATTGACCGGGGGGTGTAATGTGCTGGAGTAGTATTATATATATATATATATATGCTCTGTGATGGCCGAAAAAGGGGGAAGAACAGAGACTTGTATATGTGTGTCTCGGTCAAGTTTGTGGGAACTGAATTTACATAGTTAAATGGCGTTGGATTCACTGGTTGAGAGGAGACCGAACTGACATATATGTATATAGTTTCGGTACATGTGAGTGTTTGTTGCTGTCGTGAGACTTGAATTCATGGAGCTAGGGGAAATAGTCGCTGGTTAGATGATGACTGGTTTGGAGAGGAGACCGAACTGATATATATATAGTTTTGGTATATGTAGCAATATATGACTTACGTAGAAATTGCACTGGGTATATTTTATATACAAGGGCCGTGAATTTGAATGTTGAGGAGCCTAAATTTGTCTAAGTCTTGTGGGCTATTAAAATATGTAGGTATGATGAAGTTCCCAATGATTAATGGGTAACTTAGAAAATAAATCTTAGTTAGAAGAGATAGTGTTCCAACCCCTTTAAGCTTTTGAAAGAAGGAGACTTGTTTTAAGATGAAGATATAATAAGATAGTAAAGGTGAATAGATTAACGAATGGAACTCTTTTTAGTTGAATAAAAATGTATCTGGGGACTTAAAAATGTTGATTTAAAGTTGAAGGAGAGACTCAAATAATTTGAATTATTTAACTAGAACTTGAGGTTATTAAAGAGAGTGAAAATTAATAGAATTGAGGTTATAGGTGACTAAATAATTATGAGGATGCTTTAAAACGGTAATTGTTTGTGGATT